TCTATTTAGAGTTTAGATAACCCTGTATATATGATATCGAATTTTGTGATTGATAGAGAATAAATCTGTATTTCTCCTGTGTTAATAGCCACCTGTTAGAGCAAGGATAAATAATGTATGTTCTAATTGAAGGACTCGTCTACCTTTAATTAATTTATTTTTATTTGTTTTGAATGATCTAGTATCTTTTTTATATGTGATGTGGGTAGAAAGTTAAACCGTTAAGCTGGTAAATTTAACAAATTTTTGACGTATTATTTTATACGAACATACTTGTCGGGTGATTGTGCTGGTTCTGCGCCATGTTACACGCTGCACAGCTATCCTAATTAATTCCTATACATAACTATTTTTTTTTAAAAAAAAATAAATGCTAATAAAACTAGTAAGAAGAGCGTACATTGCTTTCGAATACTTTAATTAACAAATTATTTTTAATTTTCCAGTTAAATTTACTTAATAATGAAAATGTCAGATAAATTTATAATCTTACTAAGATAGAATAACTTAAGGAGTAGCAAAAATGCTTACATTTGAAACCAATACTTAGCCTCCTTTAAATTTTTTTTTATTCCTATACCATTTCGATAGTACCCAACTTTCTTTATTTCATCCCATCAACATCTATAAGTTTTTCATAAGCTATATATTTCAAGCTCTTCGGATTTTATAGCATTTTCTTTTTCTTGCGAATATTATTTAAAATTTGATCCTCACGTTTCTGTTTTATCCATTTATATGACTTATTGTTATTTTGAAATGCAGTTTTTTAGCTTTGTAATTTGATATGAATAAAGTTGTGTATATTCGATGTAATTCGACATGAATAAAGTTGTGTGTATTCGGTTTAGAAAAATATTTTGTATTATGATAATAAAGGTCTTCGTATGTACGTACATACATAATTTTGGTGGTGATACTAGGTGCGTTCAGGTTATGGAAAGTTAGTTGGTGATACGAAACCAAAATATAAGTTTGTGGCATGTATGCGAATTATTTTGAAAATTTTTGCTTAATATAAAAAAGCCGTAATATTATGTAAAATATTTCGAAATATTTCAAAAATATCTTAAGTAATATTTCGTAATTTGATATTTCGCAATATTTTGAAATTTCTTACGTAATATTACGGCTTTTTTATGTTTCGTAAATTATTACGAAATATTACGGCCTTATAAATTTGCTGATGTACTAAGGCAAGTACTTGTTATTATTACTCAAATGGACTTTATTAATTAAAATAAGAGAGAAACTAATACTAATTTCCACACTACTACTATTACATTCACTTTGCTCATATATACATACTTTGGATCACATCATAATTTGTTTATATACGATTATATATTCGTTTGACTCTTATATTACTAATAAATTATCTTATATTTCATGCATACTGATAACTTTACTTTGATTGCATAATTGATCTCTTAATCATGATCAATCACTTAATTATTATGTGCATTATGTGCACAAGACAACAATCGTTCGTTCATTTTACCTTCATTCTCATACAACTTTACCATATACTATATGTTACCATAATACTAGTATACTGTATTTTCATCAAATAAATCATACCATTAACGCTGATCAGCATATCAATATTAATCAAATCATCCAAATATGAAATAAAGTTGAATATTTATTTTCGATATATATGTGTTCTAAGTATTTTACCTATTTTGTCCTTATGATACCCAAAGTTATCTAGTTATCCAGATATCTATGAACTATCTGGTTATTCATAAGGGGTACCTGGTTTTCCCTAAAGTTTATCTGGTTATCTGCAAATTAAAAGTTGGTAGTTTTCCAAATACAACTTTTATAAAAAGGATACCCCTAAACAGATAAACAGATATCCAGGTCCAAGCTTTATACCAGGCTAAAAAAAATTGTATAACAATTGCAATAGTTGTATATCTCTTATATAAAACTTCACCTTCAACTTTATATCTTTCTGACTAGTCTGCTAAACTGTAAACAAACATGTTATATGGTTGCATTCTACCAAGTATATCTAAATTGAAAAAATAAACAATACTAATCTTTTGAAAAGAGTAAATCAAATCTTCACTTAAAGTAATAATCTAATAGCTTCATTAATAAAGTTGATCTTTGCTACACTCTACCAAGATTTTTTATACAAAGACACTGCCTGCTAGTTATCTTATATAATAATGTTTCTGGCTTGCATACTAAATATCCTTTTAGAAAAGTCTTTTAAAAAAATAATTGATCTCTAAACAAACCACTATATAAACTACAACTCTCTAACAAGTTATTATAGCTTTTCTTTAATGAAAAATTTTGATATAGGTAATTGTTGAAAAGAGTTAATAAAAATTACATTTATTGATTAACCAAATAGAATACTATTTTTTTTAAAATTAACCTCAAAACTAGCTCTACATTAAAATAAAGCTATTTTTTTAATACTTTTATAAAAAATATTTATACCACTAATAATTAGTGTTTTTGGTTTTTATTATTAACTTTTTTTACTTTTTTTAAAAAAAAAATTAAAAAAATAGCTCTATTTCAATTTAAAGCTGGTTTAGAGCTTTAATTTAAAAAAAATAACATATTATTTAATTAATTATTTATTTCAAAAATGTAATTTTATTTTAGTAAAATTTATAGCAATTATATTAATGTGTGTATGGTTCGATTTACTGGTTTCTATTACTCAGTCTGGTCAATAAATTAGTGATGATCATTATTAACCCTGCCTAATAGGCCGTTACACACCCTATATTTGGTGTCTACTTTTTTGATACATCACATTGTTTGGATTTGTGTTGCATCAAAAAAATGAAATTAATTCTTGCGCTTCGGACACAATGCTACGCATTAACCTAGTATATCAGATATGTTGAAATGACCTTACGGGACTATGTAGATTTTATGAATAAAAATTAAAATTTCTAGCTATCCAGTAATCCAATTCAAATAAACTTTTTTTTATTTTATAAAGCTTAGTAAAAGTTCTACAAAATAAAAAAAAAATTATTTGAATTAGATTATCAGAAATTTTAATTTTTATTCATAAAATCTACATAGTCCCGTAAGGTCATTTTCAAGGCAAGTGTACTAAAAAAATTTTTTTAAGATACGAAAGATGGTTTCATAAGTTATATTATAAGTTATATTATAATGTTATAGCAGATGTTCATTATAACGGATAGAATTTTCTAGCCTGATCACTATATTGAGTGCAGACTATATATTGCATTGCAAACAGTATCATAAACGAATCGACCAAAATTTATTAACCTCTACAAATTTTGATAACAATACTTGCTAGTAAATTCCAAGCTTTTATAAAGGATTAATAGAACATAGTATTCTAATTGACAATCTTTTCAAGATTATTCATTCGTTGCACGTACCTTATAACACCAGTATATCAATAATAGTCGGTAAACACTGTTCATAATTTCGTCACGATAAACATCATAGGACCAAATAAGCGAATAAATAGCCAATTTTGGATGTACATAAAGTTGTTTTTTTCCAATATATATAGCAGACTATTCACGTGTGCTGTTGGATAAAATAGCTTGGTCAAACCAATTATATATTTCTACTTGATTTATAATACCGATGAAACAAATAGTACAAGATATACTATAACTTATTTGATTGCTAACCTGAACAGCAATATCGGATGCTTGGGAAAGTTCCGTGCTTAGCAAATTGACAAAAAAAAGGTTGTCAACTGGTAGACCGGGAATAAAATTGAAGGATAATGGAAATAATAATGATAAAAAAAAAAAAAAATGCAATCTACCACCTTTATTACAAACTGAAAATCTCTTCGAGAATTTTGTGACATATCGTCTAATCCATATAATAATGGTGCAAGTAATAAAAGGAATAAAGCCAATAATAACTCGAACACAAAACCCACATATATAATTCCTTCCATTTAAACAACCGAATACTTGCCATATCCACCCAAAGATGTACTTCCCGGATTTCGAGCCTCAGCTTCTATAGCACTTAATGTAGTCTCAGTCAATATTCTTTTTATTTCATTCTTTGCCTTTTCAACAACATATTCGTTTTCACCCTCAACAAATAAATAAAGCTTTCTTTCACCAGACCCAGGTGCAGGCTGACGACCAGGTGGAAAGTAGGTACCGCGTGTCGTGATAGCAGCTCCTGTGAGTTCAGTTATTTGTGAAATTTGTTCCTGAAGAAAATTAATTAATTAGCGTCCTATATAGAGTTATAAGCCTAAACCAGACTGTAGGATATAAATACCTTATTAGTAACCTTCCACCTTGCTTTTTGTGGGTAATCATTGATTTCTATTTCAACGGAATATTCGGCAGTATTCTCTGTTTTATCTGCTTCTGCAACATTGCCCTGTACAGAATTTTCTTTAAAACGAGCATTGATATCTGCGATTATATCTTTTGCTCTCTGGACCCCGCTCGCTCCAACATTCTTTGCATTAACACGAGCAGCGGCTTCCTGTGCAGCTTTGAGAGCTATATTCCAAAAAAATTTAAAAATTAAGTATAATATAATGCCAATAATTAATAAACCATTTATAAGACTTACCAGCAAGTGCAGCTGGATCAGCAGAATGCCCATTTGCGGATGTTGGAAGTGCAATTACGTTCTTTGAGGTGATTACGCTAGAACCAATATTAACTTCTTCTTTCTTTGGTTGCTGTATTAGATGATCATCTTCTTCCTCTGCTTCTTCTTCGGATGTCGTGTCACCGTCACCATATGTCTGTAAAAATTAATCAAGTTTTAATGGCCAATTTAACTCATGCGCTCATGCATCGTATGCGTTGTATCCATACCTTTCTTTGAGCTTTTTTAACGAGGTCACGAGCTTCGTCCAATCTTTCAAGACCTTTACCTCCAAAACCAGAACCAGAATATGTAGCGCTACCTGATTTGACTTTTTCTTGGAAACCTAAAATCAAATTATTTACATAAATTAAATGTTTATACGGAAAGACCTTCCTAAACGCAATTTGACAAGTGACAAAAAAAAAGGCATTCAGAGTTATTACACTACGGAGAGTAAAATATAACTTGTAAGCTTAGGGATAAATCAGAGCTTGCACTTTGGAGTGGTAAAATTTAGTGATTGTTTAGAGAGGTTGCATTTAGGGAGGCCTATAGTGAATAATAATTAATCTTTATTACCATCAGCAAGCTGCTGCAGTTCCGGGCTCACGTGCCCTCCGCTTAATTTCAACGCTTTAACGATGTCCATAGCATACCGATCTTGCTCAGGAGTAATAAATGTATATGCAGTACCTTTATTACCTGCCCTTCCTGTTCGACCAACACGATGTACGTAGTCTTCCATATGATTTGGACATTCAAAGTTGATGACAAGCTTTAATTGCTTCACGTCTAAGCCACGTGCTGCGACAGATGTGGCAATTAACAGTTGACATACCCCAGACTTGAAGTCGGCAATAGTACTATCTCGATCTAGTTGATCCTTGAATTAACATAAAGTTTCTATCGTTAATAACAATTAATGTTTATATTATAATATTTGGTTAGTACTAAAAATAAACGTACTTTTCCACCATGCAGTGACATGCATGGGTAACCTTTGCGAATTAGATCACGTAAAAGGTTGTCTGCAGCTTCTTGGCGATCAACAAATATTAAAGTTCGGGCATCAGGATCATCATTATATTGTTGTCCCAATATCTCGAGTAAACGAACGAATTTAGTATTATCTTCGCGTACTTCAACAATTTGGGTGACATCCTGGGCAACAACAGAGCGCCCACCAACTGTGATTTCGAGTGGCTTTTTAAGAACTTTACGAGCCAGAGATTCCATCTATTGATAAAGGAAATATATATCAAATAAATTTCTTAAATTAATGAGATTTAGTATAATATGACAAAATTTTTATACTTGACGGGGAAATGTTGCAGAAAACAGCACTGTCTGACGGTCAGGTCTGACATTATTGACAATTTTCATGACCTATGAGCAATTAAATTTACAATAGTGAGAAATATAATTTATTATTTCAATAAATATCTGAATTACAGTAGTGACCTGAGGTTCAAATCCCATATCAAACATCCGATCTGCTTCATCCAATACCAGATAAGTAACACGCTTCAAATTAGTAACTCGCCCCGAATTTGCACACAAAAGATCAATCATGCGTCCTGGAGTGCAAACAATAATTTCAGCTCCGCGTTTAAGTTCGGCAATTTGATCTTTAATTGGTGAACCTCCATAAGCACATACAGCCTAAGTAAAAGCAAACGTGGCCATATTAATAAAGTGAGCAGTATCAACTGAGTTATTCCAATAATTAGTAAAGAATATACTATACAATACTCGAAGATTTAATCCTTTTAAAAAGTGCTTGCATTCTTTATGTATTTGCACCGCCAATTCTCTCGTGGGTGTCATAATTATAGCAACAGGTCCTTCCATTTGCTCGAGTGGGCGTTGATCCTTGATATGCCGAAACATTGGAAGGAGAAATGCTATTGTTTTACCACTTCCTGTTTTGGCAACGCCTATAACATCGCGGCCGGCCATGATAGCAGGGATAGCTTGAGATTGGATTGGAGTTGGTTTTTCGAAATTTAATTTTCTTATTACATGCAGACTAACAATGTAATCATAGAAAACTAACGTTAATAACCCGAGAATAACACGAATATATGTATAATATAGTATTTGTTACCATGCTGCGGGTAATCCAGCGTGAGTCCATTTTTGAATTGGTTTCGGACAATCAACTCCCTATAAAAACATTGTAATTAATATAATTAATATACGAAAAAAAAGCAAATACTACAACAAAATAAATAGAATACTCACCCGAATTTTGATACCTCCTAATTCAACCCTAATAAGATCAACTTGATCAGGTGTTAGGTCGTGCATTTCTGGAGGCTCAATGTAAAAGTCTTTACGGAAAGGCTCATACTTGACTTGTGTGTGATCTACTGCAGCTAGGTCTTTTTTCTTAAGCTTTTTAGCTGCCAAGCTATTGAAAAAAATTTTTTTTAATATTTTAAAATATAGATTTAATCAATTACTTAAAATTTATTTACGCTAGAATGTCTTCAGGATCACTTCCAAATTCTTCTTCTGCGTCATCTTCTTCCTGAACGTTTTCTAGTTTTTCAAGCTTACTTCTTCCTTTTGCTGCCTGTTTGGCACGTTTTTTATCTTGCTCATTCAAATATTCCACTTCAACTTCAACATCTTTCATATAGGCATCCAATGGATCCTCATCCTCTATGCTATTTGTTTGCATTGATTGATCACTGGAGTCCGTCGAGGGTTGGATTTTCGTGGACAGCGTTGAAGATTTTTCTTCATCTTCACCAGGCCCTGCTTTAGCCTTTCCCTTAGTACTTGTAGTGGTTTTTTTACTTCCAAGTCCGAGCAGAGGATTTCTTCTAACTGGAAATGAATCAATTTTATCTACTGGTTTTGGTATTGGCATCAAATCCACAGTTTCTACAACAGAATAAAGGTTAAGTTTTATGATAAATTTTAAAAGGCGAGATATATCAATTCACCTGGAGCACCGTCTACTTCCATTGCTTCATCTTCTTCTTCATCATCCAATGTCCAACCTTTGTTTTGATTTTGTTGCATTTCCTCATTAGTAACAGTTGTCGATTGACTAGTATCAGCAGCCATCTTTATTTTAGCTGCTTCTTCAGCAACTTTTGCAGCCTCCCTTTCTCTTCTCCATTGCTCAACTCGTTCTCTTCTTTGCCTAATTTTTTCTTCTTGATCAAGTAAGGCTGCCACTGTCGCAGACGTAGCCGAATCAACCGACTGTATATTCAAATCCAAATTATCAGTAAAGTATAATGTAAAACTGCATATAATTTACCTTCTTACCTTTTGATTTGCAGCTTGCATTTGTGTGTCCGAGTCTCCATTAGCACCTTCCCCAGTCACATTATTTCGAGGCTCTTCGAGTAAGGCGGTGCTTGAGGATCTCGCGACAATTTTAGATTCTTGTGAAGTGGAAGTGTCTACTGAGCTAACGGCTCGTGTTTTTTTGTCTTCACTCTCTTTTGAATGTTGTACCTTTAACTGTGCAACCTCCTTTTCAACATCACCCTTTGAGTGCCGAGAACGTTTGTGTTCTCTATCATCTTTGTGACGATCTTTATCACGCCCGCTGCGTCTGTCTCTACTGCGACTTCGATCTCTGGATTTTTCTCTTGCAACATCCTTAGTACGTTCCCGACTTCGGGTTCTTTCATGTCTGTGTGAATGTTTTTTTCTTTTATGCGGGGAACGAGATCGACTTCTAGAATGAGAATGTCGTGGCATTCTGTAGTCTAACAAGAAGAAATTGCAATGTACAACTAAGTTATTATATAGTATTGACAATTAGTCATGTGACTATTTTGTGCGTATCTCGTATGATTGGTTAGTGTAGAACGTAAAAAATTTTTTTTACGTAGCATTAATCATACATCTGATTGGTTAATTTTACCAATAAAATTACATAATTTAATCGAACGAATTCATAATACAGGCGAAACTTTATATATTAGCGAAACTTATATGTATACTACAGTATTTTTCATTAATTGTCCTTTATTACTATAGAAATAGATCAGTAACTAGACTGGTAAAACCAGAAGAAAGGTAGAGAGACTACGTAGCATAACAGGTCAACTTTTCCAGGCTAATTAAATTGGAAGTAGTGTGTTATTAAAAATAGATCTAGAAAAGATTTATAAAACAGGTACTACATATCGGCGGATTTTTGGAATTTACTATTAAAATTCCAAAAATATTTAACAGTGAATAACTTTTGATCCACTGATC